TGAATTCTCATCAGTTAACACCCAGGCATTCTCACTGCCTGACATGTACATGTATTAACACTGGTGAATTCTCATCAGTGAACACCCAGGCATTCTCACTGCCTGACATGTACATGTATTAACACTGGTGAATTCTCATCAGTTAACACCCAGGCATTCTCACTGCCTGACATGTACATGTATTAACACTGGTGAATTCTCATCAGTTAACACCCAGGCATTCTCACTGCCTGACATGTACATGTATTAACACTGGTGAATTCTCATCAGTTAACATCCAGGCATTCTCACTGCCTGACGTGTACATGTATTAACACTGGTGAATTCTCATCAGTTAACACCCAGGCATTCTCACTGCCTGACATGTACCGTAAAATCTGTATTAGAAGCCGCATCCCTAATAGAAGTCGCACCCATTCTTTTTGAATAATTGAGAACCAAAAATTCATCATTTCTCATATGTGTAGATGCTCTAATAGAAGCCGCATCCCCTCTATTGCATTGTACCATTTTAATAGAAGCCGCGGTTTCTAATACAGATTTTACAGTACATGTATTAACACTGGTGAATTCTCATCAGTTAACACCCAGGCATTCTCACTGCCTGACATGTACATGTATTAACACTGGTGAATTCTCATCAGTTAACATCCAGGCATTCTCACTGCCTGACATGTACATGTATTAACACTGATGAATTCTCATCAGTTAACACCCAGGCATTCTCACTGCCTGACATGTACATGTATTAACACTGTGAATTCTCATCAGTTAACCAAGCATTCTCACTGTCTGACATGTACATGTATTAACACTGATGAATTCTCATCAGTTAACACCCAGGCATTCTCACTGCCTGACATGTACATGTATTAACACTGGTGAATTCTCATCAGTTAACATCCAGGCATTCTCACTGCCTGACATGTACATGTATTAACACTGGTGAATTCTCATCAGTTAACATCCAGGCATTCTCACTGCCTGACATGTACATGTATTAACACTGATGAATTCTCATCAGTTAACACCCAGGCATTCTCACTGCCTGACATGTACATGTATAAACACTGATGAATTCTCATCAGTTAACATCCAGGCATTCTCACTGCCTGACAACCATCACCATTTTAATTTTCTATATTTTTCAAGAAGTATAACCCATGAGAAAGTGAAGTCCAAAATTAACAAAGAAACAAAATATTGGCAGGATACTTTGTGGTGTTAAAATTTAAACTTATGTCACCCAACTTTATTAGACAGTGTAATTGACGAATAAAGCATTACAGTTGACATTCAATGAGTGTTTGAATTTCATGTAAACAATATATATTATACATGTATAGATAGTGTGAGACCCACATTGGAATGTATACATAGCATGGGACCCACATTGGAATGTACCCACAGTAAACACAACAAGGTGTGATGATTACGGTGGTTTAACATAACGCCTACCTGATTGTGTGTTGAACAATAATGGAGCCATATTTCTCCTCAAGGTGTTGAAATATCCTATGTATAGCTTCCTTGCAAGCAGTTATCGGCTCACGCCCATTACCGGATGGATTAACAAACTTTGTTTCTTGGCATAATAACTTGGCAAATAGCGGCTGACAATTCTTCTGGACGGCTCTCACAAACAATTTCAGTTGCTCTGTGGTTAGTGTTCGATTACAAGCATGTAAAAACTGATTGATGATTCGTTGCAGTTCCTTTTCGGTAAGTGGAGGAACTTGAATGAAATTTGACGAGATGAGTATTTTCTTTTCGAGCGTCACTTTGAGTTGGGAATCATGGGTGATGGAGACAATGACAAATACGTTGGTCGGGAGATTTGCGGGCAACCATTGTAAATTATGCGCATCAAAGTCCTTGCGTACATTCTCTATGTTGTCGATGATTATCAACAACGGCCGTGATGCATTTGAAACTTTATTAAGAAGATCTGGAAAAAACGATTTCAAGGTGTCGAAGTCTTCAGGAATGTCCGACAGTTTCTTCTTATATGCTTTGCATATTTGTCGGCAAATGCTAATAAGGATATCACGAGCAGACTTGCTATATAAAGTCAAACATGTGAACCGTATGATTGCTACTGTGTTCTCTCCTAGCCATGAGGTGGCTGTTTTTGCTAGCATGGATAAGGTGGCCGATTTTCCGGACCCAACTATGCCTTCCAACACAATTGGATGGCTGACACGATCTGAATCATTTCTATTGGACAGTATAGAGTTCTTCACCTGGCTCAGCAGCGTTTCACGACCAACGAAATCACGACAGTACACGCTAGACATACGTACATGCTCCACGACCTCATTAAACATATGTCTACTATCCTCGATCGTTGGTCGCAATGGATCTTGACACTCGCTTGCCATACGCCTGTCTATCAATGTTTTCAACTTTTCAGAAACTTGCATGCATAGATCTTTCAGATACATTTTATGTGCACTAAATTCGGGGTCAATACCCTTCTCAGTCCACTTCACAGAGAAATTAAGAATATTCTCTCCCGGCACTTTACTAGGGATCCTTCCCTCCTTCAGCTTCTTCAGACGGTCTTGCGCTTTTTTATCAAATTTATGTTTGGGTTTCTTCATGTCTATATATTTGGGTAATTCTGGATGGTCGGAGTTCAGGTTTTGCGGTATGTCTTCCAAGTTACGAAAAACAAAAAGGCAATTTTTGGCAGATTCTTCAGAACGTGATATGGCGGTTGACACTTCAGTCTCTAAGCCTACAAAACAAAATTACAACTTGCATTTACAAAATACTGCCATCTAAAAAAATGTAATTGATTCTTTTGTTTTTATTGAAGGTATATTTATTGCTATATACAATATACTTCAAATTGAGGTCATTATTTGACTTTTAGTTTACTTTATATCAATTTTTTTCAGGTCATTATTTCTCATTTCTCTCACATTTTAAAGTCAACACCTCAAGTGAAGTTGAATACTGCATTATTGACCCATAGCTGTTACAACACAGACAAATAAATAGAGGCACATGATAAAAAACATTATTGGTAATATTCACCTGACATATAGTATTTATGCACCTCATCTTCATTTATCAGACCTTCATCAAACGCGTACTCCGAGCACTGCTGCAATAGTTCGAGTAACGTTTCATGCGTCTTCTTCCACTGTAATCTATCTTTTTCTTGGAGTTCTTTATTTTCAACACCTCTGAAGTAGTTATATTGTAAAATTCAGACAGACACACACACACAGAAAAATAAAGCTGAATATATTAGAGATGAGGATATAATAGCAAAGTTTTGGATTCACTGGTTGCTTAGCCTATAAAAAAGGCCAGCAGGATATGCAGTGTTACCGGTAGTCCAAAGATACAAAAAACTACAGGGACATGCAACCGCGGTCTTTTCTCTGGTGTAACATCTCATGGGATTCAAATACACTTTTGAATATCAATGCATTTCAATCAAGAAATAAAAATGCCATTTGATATGTAACACTTGCTTTATCTTTTTTTTTAACAACTAACTTTCTTTTTGTAGTAGTAATTATCACAACTAATCTTTATTGCTATTAACTGATAGAAACATTGTATTTCTAAGGATGCAATAAAGTTATTATTATTATTATTATTATTATTAAGTGCAAGATAATGTTTGAATAATCCAAGACAACTTGCATCACACACATACAAAATCTGTGAAAATATTAATTAGGTATTTTGTACAAATTTCAAAATAAAAATATGCCTACATAAGACATTAATAACAGAAATTAGTATTAGTAGAAATTAAATGAATTTGGAATACTATGTAACAAAACGGCATGGTGTTAACATTTGGCAGGGCAATGCAAGTAAATGATAATACTATTTTTTATTCATCTATTTTCAAAAAAAAAAAATTCAAGTCTTTGCCATAGTACTAATTGAGTAGCGGCATCAAAACTAGACTGTTGTAAACACACTTTATACAGTGTATTTAAAAATTGGGTGACATAAACTACTGAAAAATATGTGATAAGATTGTGAACATTTAAAAAAATGAACTTCAGTATCATTCAATATCATGTTCATTCTTTATTGTATGCACGCATCCAAGTTATCCTTGAAAATTTATTTTTCATGTGTACATTACAAAATATAGTTTTGTAAATATACTGTAATTCATCACAGAGTGATATCAGCCAAGGATTTGTATTCTAACATAATTGGAACTTATAGCACCATAAATCCTGGAAATATGATCACAATTATAAAAAAAAAATTAAGAGATGAAAATTGAAAGTTCTTGAGGATAGGTCTTATAGGCTTCTTTAAATAAATGTGTATTCAATTTCTTCTTAAATATAGATAACGAATCGCACTTTATCACGTCGAATTTTTCAATAGACTATGGTTAACTTACATGTCATAGAAGTGTTTAAGTTTCATTGAGATCGGCTGTAGTCTATAAACTTTCTTTTCAGTGCTCGTGACATCTTCCAAGTACCATTCATCAAGTAGGTTGATATCTAGGAATAAGTTTGAAAAATTTCAATTAGAAATTGTATGTTTGTATTACAAACTGACACATAACCAAGCTTTAATTAGGTATTTTTTAAATGATTGGAAGGTATCGAAAGAGCCAACGGTGGTAATTAGTGCAAGTCAAAACTCATGATGCCCATTAGAGTGCATTGGATTGTCAATGTTTATCAACACAAAAATCGCACATGCACGGCACGGTGCGACATGACGACTACCGCCTTCTAACCCTCTAACCCTCATATTTTGACTGTTTGGTCCAAAATTAAGATTTATTCAGTGAAAATAATGTGAAAACAAATTACCCTGTTTTGGATGTGAATTGGGATTGGGATTGGAAGTGGAATATTGAAAACCAGTCAGTTGAGTCAACGCGTATATACAATGCAGAATTTGATACTTCAAGAACCTGTCAAGAAACAAGCTGTTCTCTGATTGGTCTGAATGTTAGGTGTTAAAGTTGGGTAGCCAATCAGACACAGTCTTGAAGGTAGCTTTGAAAGAATTAAATATTGGAACCTTCAAGATCGTGACGATGATTCTAAAAACCATACAAGTCACTTATTTCAATTTTGTGAAACATTGGGTACTTGAATTGTTGGCTCTATGTGTGAAATAAAAGATGAAGAATAACGCTGTTATGAGAATACAGCAAACTCATACTCAGTATATGTGGTCACATGAACCTCTACTTAGTACCAGTTGATACCATACTCAGTATATGTGGTCACATGAACCTCTACTTAGTACCAGTTGATACCATACTCAGTATATGTGGTCACATGAACCTCTACTTAGTGCCAGTTGATACCATACTCAGTATATGTGGTCACATGAACCTCTACTTAGTACCAGTTGATACCATACTCAGTATATGTGGTCACATGAACCTCTACTTAGTACCAGTTGATACCATACTCAGTATATGTGGTCACATGAACCTCTACTTAGTGCCAGTTGATACCATACTCAGTATATGTGGTCACATGAACCTCTACTTAGTACCAGTTGATACCATACTCAGTATATGTGGTCACATGAACCTCTACTTAGTACCAGTTGATACCATACTCAGTATATGTGGTCACATGAACCTCTACTTAGTACCAGTTGATACCATACTCAGTATATGTGGTCACATGAACCTCTACTTAGTACCAGTTGATACCATACTCAGTATATGTGGTCACATGAACCTCTACTTAGTACCAGTTGATACCATACTCAGTATATGTGGTCACATGAACCTCTACTTAGTACCAGTTGATACCATACTCAGTATATGTGGTCACATGAACCTCTACTTAGTGCCAGTTGATACAACATTGATACTGCTTCTGTTACCAAGTCATATTTTTGACATAGTCTGGTAATACTTACTACGACCGGCTTCAAATGCACAATCTTTAATATGAGCATATTCAGCCTCTTCTATGACAGCAGGTAAGATACACTCTCCATATTTACTACCAATCAACGACTAGAAACAGAAATGACAACATTCCTATTTCATTATTCATTATTTCATAAAGTTGTAATTCTGTTAATACTTGAAAATTGCTAGTGGGTGCAAAAAACATTTCGGGGAACACAACAAATTCTACACAGTGAAGAAACTGAAGAACGCTGACTCAAATTTGACCTATTTTAATTTTACGTCAAAATTGCAAGACCAGTCATGCCCTGAGTTTGATAGTTTTATGTACTGTATGTATAACCAAATTGAATGGATAGTTCATAGTTTAATGCCATTAACTAAGGAAGTTATACCCATGAGTTTCACTGGAATATTAGATAATCTAACAAGTTTTAATTACGGTAAATACAAATGTGCAACTTTTGTAGGAGTATTTCTACTGCTGTATATTCTGATCCAAGGTATGAATAATAAAAAAGACATTTACACATGATAAAATATTATTTGCTTAAACAAATGCATTGTGGGAGTTTAAGACTGATTCAAATTTTGCATTACTGAGCACAATTACAATGCATTATGGGATAATATATAATATATTAAAAATAATTTATCATTAAAGAGGTCATTTAATTAACAAATGTATTTTTATGCATGGTAACCTCCTCTCTCCCTCTCTAAACATACCCGTTTTGATGATTTATCCATGACTTTAACAAACACACACACATTTACACATGATAAAATATTATTTGCTTAAACAAATGCATTGTGGGAGTTTAAGACTGATTCAAATTTTGCATTACTGAGCACAATTACAATGCATTATGGGATAATATATAATATATTAAAAATAATTTATCATTAAAGAGGTCATTTAATTAACAAATGTATTTTTATGCATGGTAACCTCCTCTCTCCCTCTCTAAACATACCCGTTTTGATGATTTATCCATGACTTTAACAAACACACACACAGTAATAGAATACTGCCATCAAACTATTTTCTTGGAATTTCCTTTGTTTTTAGGAACAATTTCCTTTGTTTTTATAAAACTGTCAGCAGGTCAGGAAAAGCGATAAAAGCCCAGGGATTGTCATTTTTAAACCTCTTTTAATTATAATGTAGAATGTAGCAAAATGGTATCAGATTTGTGGGCGTTCAAATTCATTTGAAACCATGTAAAACTAAGTTGGTGACTTCAGAAGTGATAAAGGAATATTTTATTTCGCCAATGTTAAAACATTGAAATCCAATATTACTGAATGGGAAAGTATTTACTTAGCACCAATTAGACTCACAATAGAGTCAAAGCTCAGGGAATTTCAATGGAAAATCAGCCACAATATCCTGGTAACCAATTCTGTTCTTTGTAAGATGACCCTCACCAAAAATTGAATCAGGAGCCTTACGTTCTGTAAGGGGCCTGATGAAAATCTGCTTCATCGTTTCTATGAATGTCCAGTAGTGAAATTATTTTGGGATACCTTCTTTGAGATATGAGCGACAAAACTGAGTTTCCCTCGGGTAAACAACCCAGAATGCTTTTTGTTTGGTGATAGTCTTCTCCCCCTCCTGTTAAACTTTTTGCTTTTAGTTGCCAGGAGGTTTATTTATATTTGCAGATGTCAGGATAAAAAAAAAAAAAAATGAGGAATTTAAGACTTTGTGCAGAAGATACTGGAAACTGAGTACTTGATTGCAAACAGAAAAGGTAAATTGGGAAAACATTTTAAAAAATGGGGAAAATTTATGAAAATTGTAGCAACGTCCTAGCATATCAACATGACTACCTGAAAAAAAATTTAATATTTTTGTGGAGACTTTGTACTTGTTTGTTGTGCAATGTAATTTTTTGGTACACATACATGTAACTATGTAGAGTGTTTATGTCAATTGACTAAATGAAAAATGTTTTAAAAAAAAAAGAATGCAGCAAAATAATTTTAAGCAAATAAAGCCATCAAATTATATTATTATTCCTTTGTTTTTATTAAAATGTTTGCATGAATCAGGACAGTATTGGTACCATAGCTTGTTATTGTCTACAATAATTATTTTGATATTAGTATATGACTAACCACAAAGAATGGTCCCTGTGATAAGCGATGTGAATCTTCAAGTTCAAGGATCCTTGTAGCTGTTGTCTCATGGTCTATGGTGATAGAATTTGATCCATACTGATGCATATCAAATAGCTGCAGAAAAAAACAAATGATTTAATCACAGCTGCAATTAGACGACTGTATACTTATGGTAACTGAGTTAATCTATATTGGGATAATTTCAGATTAATTAACAAACATATTCAACCAGTAGTGGTCATTCCATGATATACTGTAAAACATGTTGAGAAAGCGACATACTATTTTAGCGAATCACAGTGAAATGACGTACAGTAATGGTGAAATGTTGATCTCTCTTGTTTTTTGGTGATTTCCTGTTTTCACAATACGTGCCCTTGCCTGCCAAAACAAATGCGCAGCTATCACCTCCATAAAAACAAAAAAAAACTGTCAAGTGTAATAAGAAAGCGCTCCAGATTATTATGTTTTCTGTGTTGTTTACAAAGTGTGTGTGTTTGGAGAAAAAGATGTTTGGCCGCCATTTTGAATTTATAATGAAGTCGTTAGCTCCATCTTAAATTAGCGAATTAGTTCTCTAGCCAAATTTGCTAAAAAGACATGCTTGCAAAATAGACATGTTTTACAGTAAGTCATGTGTGAATATAATATGCTTTTTCAAATATGCTCTTTTCATTCATTCATTCATTCATTCATTCATTCATTCATTCATTCATTCATTCATTCATTCATTTAATCATTCATCTGTGCTGGTGATCACACAGCATGCAGTTTACACGCGATGTGTGCAACGAACATACTGCATGGGGATCCATGTCAAACGTGATGCTACGGGATGAGCGGCACATTTTCTTTTTTCTCATATATTCTTGAATCTCCATAAAACTTACGACACAAGTAAATGTCCACAAAGCAAAGTGAGAATGCCAAGAAATGTATGTCTTGAAACTACTTTGTATCAAGGTATTGTATTACACTGTAATTTATTTATGTATTCATTTAATCAATCTTGTTGATATTACCTGAAAGTCCAGTCCATACTGCAAACAATGTTCCTGTAGATCTGGATAAACATCTTGCAGCAATGCAACCCTCTCACTTTCAGTATCTGTAAATAAGCAATTTAGTTTTGTTTGTATTTTAACTTTACATGAACACAAATCAAAAAGTTACACAACTTCATCATGATGCCAAGACCATGAGAATGTCTGTCATAGTTTCTATATATTCTTCAAACAATCAGTCATACAGCAGAGTACTTTATTTTCACTGGATTTTGTTTTAAATAGTTTTTTTGTGCCAGTTCTGAACATTGAATGTCACTGTTGTCTTTTTTTTTGTATGTGCAAATTGCAAGTGCTAGTGCTGACACATTTTTGACACAGAAGTCATATTCATGTTTGGGACTACATGACAGGGCTGTGTGCTATCAAATTGCTATCAAATTGCAACTTTAATGTGCTATCCTGGCGTCAATCAGGCTCGGTCAAACACAAACACCTACAGACCTTAACCAAGGAATGCCAAGTAGTAACTAAGTGACGTAATTTGAAAATATTCTTATTAATACTTGTTTTCTGTAAACAAGTCTTCATTACGCCATGCCCATGCATTCTGCCTGTTTAGACTTAGGTATTTGAGAAGTTTCTGGCATTTCTCGCTGTTTCTGTGCAGATTTATAACAAAAGAAACAGTTTTTTATTCGCCCAACTTTCGAGAGTAAAAGGAAACCAAGGGAAATAGAACAAGCCACGAGAAAGTGTCGGACTAATCAGAATGCCGAAACTGTTACTAGTTATCAGCCTCTTGTGGCTTGGTACGCCATGACACTTGAGGCGGGAACCAGCCAAACATGTTTGCTGAATAGAATCTGCCAAGGAGTAGTATTGACGCAAATAAAGAAATTTGACTTGTGAAGATGCTTACATGGTGAAGCTTAATTTCAAACCCCTCTGGGCTCTTAATGCGACAGGTGGTTTCATTTGACAAACCAAAATCCTAGAGAATTTGCCAGCTTTTTGAGATAAAGGAACAAAACACCTCACGACAATACTAATCCGGTAGAAGAATATTACATCATTTATTTATTTCTGATTTGAGAACCAACAGCTAAAAAAAAAAATTGGACATTTTAAATCAAGATATTTTTGTTATTAACGAGAAAAGGTTTTTCATTTCTGTCTAGAGTCGTGTGGCATGAAAAATGTTTCATGAAACACTGCCATTATGAGGCAAGATTAAAAGAATCTTGTCACGTCCAGACGTGCAGTTGAGTGAAGTGTTCATACTATTGAGCAGGACCATCTCTACTTGACGTTTAGGATTTTGGACACTCTGGAAATACATCCCAGAATTCGTGTATACTGAAATATCTGTATTAGAAGCCACATGGCTGTCTGTTAAATCAATTCACTGTAACAGTACTGTGTATGATACTAATTGCCGTCTACATTCTGAGTTGGTCTGCCTACTTTAAAAGTGAAACCCCGGGGTACTTCAACACCATCAATGCTTTTTTAAAGAACATAAAAATTTGTTTGATGATTTGTCAATTCAAGTTTAAGATTTGTCAATTAATAGTTTAATAACAATATAGTCTTATTATTGAAGAATATTTTTTAGATTTTCAATTAATAGTTTATAAACCTTAGTGTAAACTGAGAACAGACTTCTCAAGGTAGAGTGAACCAATTGAGTATTGGTCACCAAATCAGGAGGAGAATAACGCACTGGAGAGGAGCACTAATGTAGCCAAGGTGTTTATTGCTCAACTGCTAGGCCTGGAACTGAGACTAAATACTCATGAGATGTTCCTTGACAATGTATCAATATCATTATGTAAATAACTAAACTAAATGTCATAGCCTCAAATCATTACACTTAGTAACCAAGCAGGGCCTATATAGTCTTGTTATGCATGCTTTTAAACAAAGAACTCAATTCCATTGCTATGGCGATAAAGAAATATATGTGATATTCTCAACATAGGTAAATATCACGTACAATGCCCATTAAACAGTATTGAAGTAGACCTTGACATTTAATATTGATTTTCTGTACTACAATGTACAAGGAAGATGTGAATCTGCACACAAACACACCAATATATTACCGGTAATTGTATTATTATATATGTACATCTGACATTAAAAACAATAGAATTTACCTGTCTGTAAAATGTTGTATGGACATGTTTGAATATGTTTACACGTTACAATGTCTTCCTCATTTTGAAAATGTGCATCATATTTAGGTCATCCAAACACTTCCCATGTTTACTTAAGAAGCGTTATCAGTGCCTGATGAAAATAGAATCCCGTCACTGAATGCAAATGTGCGTACAGAACAAAATATTCTTCTTTGTCATTTTGTGTTGTTATACATCTCATTAAATTATTACTACATGCAGGGAAAAGATGTATAATAATAAGGTTATCATGAGAATACAGCAAAGTATGCTTTCAGGCAGTACAGGATTGCATTGACCTTCACTATTTGTTGCCAATACGATCACCATACTACCTTTGTACATATTCTACAGTATCCTCATAATACCTGGTACTATGATCTGTCATTTTAATAGAAAAAATAAGGTTATAATGAGAATACCGCAAAGTATGCTTTCAGGCAGTACAGTATTGCATCGACCTCCACTATTTGTTGCCAATACGATCACCATACTACCTTTGTGCATATTCTACAGTATCCTCATAATAACCTCGTACTATGATCTGTCATTGAGAAAAAAAAAGGTTATCATGAGAATACCGCAAAGTATGCTTTCAGGCAGTACTGGATTGCATCGACCTCCACTATACGTTGCCAATACAATCACCATACTACCTTTGTGCATATCCTACAGTATCCTCATAATAACCTTGTACCCGGTACTATGATCTGTCATTGAGAAAAAAAAAGGTTATCATGAGAATACCGCAAAGTATGCTTTCAGGCAGTACAGGATTGCATCGACCTCCACTATACGTTGCCAATACAATCACCATACTACCTTTGTGCATATTCTACAGTATCCTCATAATAACCTTGTACTATGATCTGTCATGATCAAAACATTAGCACACTCTTGTTTTGTTATACTGGGTAAATCAATTAATTTTAAAGTTTATTAATCAACTCCAAAATGTTGTGACCATAAAAGCACACAATCATCGTCCCCCGCTGCGTAACCAATATAAACTGCTTCTATGAATTTGAAAGTAACAAAAAAGGCATGACAAATAAATCACCAAAAATGCTCTCAAACAACTGTTTGTTCTTTCTTGCCAGTGATTGTACAACAGAATTTAAATATACAAATTTACAAAGCGCCACCTTTTGTACCTTTAGTATAATTTCTTTCATACTGGAATACTGAAGAAAAACCATTCATGATGGTTGTGTCAGCTAAATTCAATATACCAGATGGAGGATTCACATGAAGTTGTCTACAAAGCATCTTTTACAAAAACAAGTTTTTTTTAAGCCAAATCTATAGGCACATGTAATTGGTTGCTGACAACTGGGAAAGTGTTAGCGGAAACCCAGCACGTGGAGAGAACACAAAATACTCTGTTTTCAGTGTATTACCTATAATCAATTTTTACACAGGAAATGTCATGATAGTTCACAGTAATAATAGATGAGGTGGGAAAACACTTCTATAATTATACTTTGAATATGTGACTTTTGAAATTACTGATGACAGATAGATCCTTTTCATCATTAAAGTTATAGACATGACAAAGATTGAGGAGACGAAACATGAAAGGTGATCTTAAATCAATCAAATTGGCTTATTAAGTCTGACATGCCAGGACGGCTTTTTAAGGGCCACTAAATCTTAAGATTTTGACACTATTAGAACCAGATACTTGAAAAAAAAGTATCAAATTTCCATCACAGCAAGACTGAAAATGATGATGCATTGTTCCTTCCTATGTCCGTCACTTTTATTTAAAATTTTATTTAATGCCAAATTCAGGGTTTTGCATGCTTCATGCTCATTGTAGTTTAGATTGCTTTAAATTTCAGTCACCAGTCGACAACACCTCTATTTCAGACCAAATCATATTCCGGCATCTTGTCTCTGATAGAATTTGTTAACCGACGAGAGCATGAAAAGTAGATTATAACAAAAGTTTTAATAATAGAAACTGAACACGATAGTCATATGGTCAGATGTAGTTCAGGGCATTAACACCATATGCTGCAACCAGAATTACAAATAAACATAGATTTCATCTACCTCTACCAGATTTAGATCAGACTGCTCATAATATTGAGTGTGGGTTCCCACACAATGTGTTTATAAAGGGAGATGATTGTCACGCAGCAACGCACGCAATGCAAGTAATACACATGGTTTGTTTCTATGCAAATCGAACACTGCCAGACAACCATCTTTTATATCACGTAATCTTTGCCTCATTCCCATTAATTGCTTTTTCGATAGCATTTTCATTCATAGTCCTTAAATTTGGTCGGATTTACTAGGAAAGTAATATTTCTTTGTTCTATACACTCAAAGTTTGACTGTGTTTCAGGATAAGATTATCATACATGTGTAATCTAAGAGGGGAATACAACCAAACTTCCCCTCACTCACTCAAAACCCTGGAGAACACCCTGGATTTGTAGTCATATTGATGAGCTGTGAAGATGCATCGTCTACTGAATAAGCAGCTGAACAAGTGATTTATGATGGAATGCAACGAGTGGCTGACTATGACACATACAAGACCATGTTGCAGGTGTCATTAAGTACCGGTATATGGGATTATGACCTTTTAACAGGAGAAATGTTGGCCAGTACAGTCTGAATTTTACTACATTCTGCACATGAATTGATATTCATTTTAAATACATGTACTGTACAGTGCATTGACTTCATTTAAAATTGATAAATTCGTCCTTGTATTATCAATACCAACTGTAAAATACTTTATTTTTGCTTGGAATTTATTTTCAGTATTTTTCCTTCAGGGACAACTCAGGGAAAAAAAAAATTCAGCGAATATACATATTTTCCTATATTTTACATTAAACTTTAATATCTAAAGTCAGTGAAAATAAATGTGATACAAAACACCCAAAAAGGCTTTCCAGCAA